GTCTGGCCTTGCTACTTTTCTCTCCTTTCAGTTCTAGGATAAATCATTTTTCCTTCAATGTCGCAAAGTAGAACAAAGAATAATGGATACTGTGAAAATTAGATTTGGCAGTAGCAACAATATAGGTACATTGATAGGGTACACCCAACTTCCTGCAGGTAAGCAGTATGTAAACAAAGCTTATTTTAAATACTTTCACAGTGACTAAGCTTTGGTAGATCTGAAAGAATAACTTTCACAGAATAGTTAATTCGGTGCTACTTTTGATATTTTCACAGTGTAAGATACATGGTTTAACACGGCCACTTTAAAGATGTTTCTCAAGAACTCAGATGAGGTGAAGAGGAGACACTGTTCTCTAACATTTAGAGTTTCTATTGTGTTCCATGCATCACGCTAAATTCTTTAAATACACTATCTTATTTAGCCCAACAGGAGGTATGCCCATGTTATAAAGAAGCATAGTACTTGCCCTAGATCATACACGTAGTAAATAGTGGCGTCGGGACTGAAACTTAGGTCTGCTCACTCAAGCAAAATTTGCTTAGCACTGGAGAGCCATAAAGAATAAGGCGTGGTCCCACCCCCTCTTGTTAAGTGCTATTGCTCGAGGTATGCACCGCCTGCAGTGGGAACATAGGAGGTGCATCTTAGCCTCTCCATAGCTTTCAGGATGAAATTCAAATGCTTTTGCTTAGCACCTGGTTCCCAAGCTCCCTCGCCCTTACACTAGCTAGGCGGAAAAAGATGCTCGCGCTTAGACGTCTGCAGTTGGCGGGGGTCGGATATCCAGAGGGATCTCGGCCTAGGAAACACGTCTTCATTCTCACCTTCGCCATATCCAGGCTCCACCGAACCCTCAATCATTGTGTTCTTCAATCCCGAGCCTCCCTTCGGCACCTTCTGCGACGCGGACCGCAGCGAGCCGGAGACGCGGAGCTGCCCGGGCTCCAGGAGATGGCGCCGGAAGCGACGGCGACGGCGCGTGACGTAAGAGGAAGTGCCAGACGCCGCGGCCTGTAATTGGGAGTTGCCGGAGTCGGTGCCTCACTCTTCAGGTTCCCCCGACCACTGGCGGCGGAGCTGATCGGGGCTGAGCGGGTTCAAGGCTGAGTGGGCTCGAACCTGCGCGACCGGCTCCGCGGACAGGTGCGACCTGCGGGGTTACCGCTGGGTGCCTGGGGCTGGGGTTGTGGGCACCGCCCCTGTGGTCCCTTCCCAGGCGACCTCCGGCACCTCATTCTGAGCCTCTTGGAAGAGAAAGGGCTAAAATAGGGCAAGTTGCTAACGTTGGTTGAGGACCAGTCTCTTTCACCTGCGAGGATCGTTTAATCTACAGTTCATCCCTGAGAGAGGTATTGGCTCCCTGTTTACAGAGGAAGAACCGGGTTCCAAAAAGTGAAGTCCTTTGCCACAGGTCATGCACCTGGGAATTGACAGATGTGGATTCAAAGCGAGTGTCGGCTGACGCCAGAGCCCTTGCTCCTTGCACTGCTGTGGGGGGTCTCAAGCTTCAACTGGGTCAACAATCCCGGGCTGGAGGGTACGGTTAGTTAACAGTGTCTGGAACTCCGCAATTCAGTAGGTCACAGGAGGGGCTCCGGCATCTTATTTTCAGCCACTGTCCCCTGACATGTAACATAACGCCCCTCTCCCTGTAAACAGAGCAAGAACTATAGCAAATTGTCATGTTAAGTTTTTAAGGCCTCAGTTGAGAGAAAATGTCAACCAGGGGCTTCCTGTACACGCCCTGTGGAATTGGAGAGTTGGTATTTGATTCTACCAGTAACTCTAAATTTAGGGGCAGATGGCAGTCTCCATCATCTCCCCAACTATTTAATGAGAAGAATTACATACTTATACCTGGGGAGATTTGTTAAAATACAGATTTCTGGGCCCAGCCCAGCTCTACTGAATCAGCAGGTGTCGGGTGGGGCCTGGGAATTGGTAGGCTAAACAAGCTATAAAATAAGTTTGTTACCTTTTGAGTACCTGAGATATGAACCTTTCTTAGATAGACCCATAAAGAAATGGTTGATAGATTCAAAACATGGGGCCTGCACCTCTCTGTTTTTTATTTTGTTTTTGTTTTTTTGGTAATTGCATGCGCCTATATTTTCTGTGAACGTCAGTTTTATTGGCAAAAATGTCAAATTAGTATTACTGGCCATAATGAGGTGGGTTTTTCAAAAGCGGAAGATTGGACCTTAATAAAATTTGAATGTTTATCTACTATTGATTTCCTGAGTGATTTTGAGTGAGCCATTTAACCTGGTCTTCACACACGCCTGTTTATCACCATCTCCTACAATGCTTGTTACAAAGACAAACAGCTGTGTCCACCCTACATCAGATCTTCTGAGACAGGCCATGGGTGTTTTTAACCAGCTTCCAGGGAAGTGTGATGCAGCCAGTGATAATGGGGTATGGAAATAACCTTGGAAACTGAGTCTTAGCTTATTTCTCAGTGTCCATGTAGGTGCAGTATTAGTTTTCTTTTCTTTTTTTTTTTTTTTAGATTTTTTTTTATTGGGGAATTGGGGGGATGGGAACAGCGCTGGGGAAGTGGGGGAAGGGGAACAGACAAGTTGCTGTCGTTTTGTTCTTCAGTCTAGTTGTGGAGGACGTTGCTTCACTGGCCCAAGTGGGCACCAGCATTGTGCTCTTCCCAGGCGAGGCAGATCAGTCGCCGGCTTCTGGAAGGCCGCTCACTGCGGCTGCTGGCCGCTCATGCTGGCTGCTGGCTACTCACGGTAGCCCATGGCAACCCACTGCCACAGGGGCTGCAGCCTACGCTGTTGCTGGCGACTCATGGCAGCCCAGCTCCAGGTTGAGCTGTTGTTCAGCATCTTAGCTGTGGAGGGCAGCGTCACTGGCCCTCATATGTGGGATCCGAACCGGGGCCCTCTGGCGTCCCAAGCCAGCTCTTAACCAACGCGCCACTTGGCCGGCCCGCAGTATTAGTTTTCTTCTGTCGCTCTTGGTGACTGATAAGAGTAATGTGGTTTATAATCCTGGTTTTAGACTTTCTTAACATGCACTTGCTTGTGATTGAAGTGAAAGTACTGTGATAAGATTGCAATGGTAAACTGTCAAGCCAGCAGCCCTAAGAGACTCCTTGATGGAGATGTGCTGACAGAAGTTGATTTTATGTAGAAGCTCTGCTTGCTATTGAGCCATCTCTTTTGCCTCAAAGGATGATAATTACCCCTGCGTAGTACAAGTTCTCACAACTCCAACTAAAAGATTTTTTGCTTTTTTTAAACAGATAACCATTGTGTGATTTGAACCAGAAATGAAATCTTCTGAAAGCTAAGAGCGGAAGCCTTTTTGGTCAACATGGAGGACAAAAGACGGCGAGCCCGAGTACAGGGAGCCTGGGCTGGCGCTAAGAGCCAGGCCATTGCTCAACCAGGCGAGAACCTGTGGGGTCACACGCACGTGGGAACGTGGATTGTTATCCTCTTTTATTTACATTCTTTGGTTTATAAGGACTCCCATTTCAATTCATGCTAAAGCATTATTTAAAATGTGGCTGGGAGTTTTTCTGATTTTGCTGACGGTGACCTAAGGGTTGGTTTTTATTGTTCCTCATATTTAGTCACTACTCTCAAACCTTTCAGTGTGGGTGTTGAGGTCTTTGATAGACTTTACTAATTAATTTCTAGATGTCATAGAGGTCATACAAGTGGATTTTATTGGTTCTCGCTCGGTACAAGGTGATGAGAGCAGCCTTCCCCTTGGTTTGATTCTGTTCTCTTGCTTCAGCTACCACTGCTAAGAGCCGTCTCCACCAGATGCCTGGCCAGACCTGGACGAACAAGGAACATCCTCTGTCAGACAAACAGTTTGTGTTCAGAGAACCCCAGCAGGTAAATTCTTGTTTCTCCTTCAGTAGTAACAAAGATTTGTTTGTAAAAGCGATATTATAGTAGAGACTCAGATAGTGACTGAGTAAATTCACTAGTAAAAGGAGAATTAAAGGACTGTTAATAATAATGAAATGTGGAGTATCAATTTCTTAGTATGTCTGAGAATTCTTTGTAGTCTGCCCCCAATTTATGGGCATATATAATCTCCCCCCCCCCTTTTTTTTTTTGGCAAGGAAGCTATACCATGATTAGAGGTTAGAAGTTATACCATAACTAGAGCTTGCACTGATTATTTAAGTTTTAATGGTCCTAAAGCCATGCTATCTCCAGTGCTATTGTAGCAAATGTCTCTGGAGTTTGTATTGAAATTTCAGCTACTACAATGCCTGATTTTTTAGCCTTTTTTCACTGGGGAAAAATGCAGGACACAGTGAAGATTCTCTGTTTTTAATAACGTGAAGAAAAGAGCTAAAAATCAGGTGTTGCACTATAGTAGTGATTTTATAAATAATGATTAAAACCTCTTACATTGTAGTGTATCTTCTGTTTTTAAAAATCTCCTGGAAAGAAGGTTTTTCCAGAGCTGCTGGCTGTTAGGAAAATGGATTAGTTCTAATTGCATCATCTTTTAATACCCACTAGTAACTGTAAAGTAGTTCCAAGAAACGCAGAAACAAGAGTTTCTGGTGGGATAGTACGCACTTGGAATAAAAAAGGGATAGTTTTAAACCTGATTTATTTTGACCAGACATGGGAGTATATGGTAATCCTGCAAGTCCCTGAGGATAGCACCATTCCAAGAGTAAGATCTGCCTGTTTCCTTGCAGGTGGTACGCAGAGCTCCAGAGCCACGAGTGATCGAGTAAGTAATTTGCTGCTTTCCTGTAACTGTTGCCCATGCTGAAATGGAAAGCCCTGGGTCTTTCCCTAACCCTGGTTTTTCCATCTGGAGTAGATAACAGCCCAATTATTATCTCAATTTTAGGGCAAGATATTCCTATCTCAGATGTCTTTAAACCTGGTCTTTTGAGAAGCCTTTCTAAATTTGCTGATGGTATGGAAAATGCAACAAGATATCCGAACATTAAACCCGGAGTCTCGTGTAGATTTCCTGACCTATTTCACTAATACATCTATAGATATCAGCTAAAACATCTAGGTAAAGACAGAGGGGGATTTTTCCTGAGTCATTGAAACATGGCTCTTTGAGAAGCCTTTAGGTACCCTTTTACTAGCAATGCTTATGAAAGCTGCTAGAAATCTAGATGATCTTATAGTCCATTTCTTAAAACCACATAATTATTCCAGAGCAATTAAATGATAGGAAACATTCCTCTTGTATTGATCTGTGTCTAAAATGTTCTTTTAAAAAATTGATGAAAGATGCTTTGACTCATCTTTTCCTGCTCTTCAATTTCTATCTGATGTAGATAAATTGTCAGTAGAAAGCATCCTTTTATTTTAGCAATTTAGCATAATATGTTAGATTGCTCATGAGCAGCCTGTTAAACTATTTGGATGTTTGCAGGTTGACTTATACATCTTAGAAAAATTTGAAACTGACACAAATGTCATCATACTTTCAGAAAGGGTATGTTGTCATGGGCTTGCCACTAGTTAGGTACATAACTAGTCCTTGGGTAAGTTATTGCCATCTCTTCTGGACTTTAGTTTCCTTGTCTGTAACGTTAAGGGTTTGGACAACATAATCACTTAAGGCCTAGTCTACTAGCTCTTACAGTCTTTGATTGTTTTACACCTGATGTGACATTGCCTCCATTTGCTAATAAAGAGAATAAACAAAATCATGAAACTTGTTACAAGGTATAGATGGGATATTCAAACTGAAAAAATGGGCAATTGTGAGTCTGCAAGTCAGAGAAAAATGACAGAACTCATTCCTACTTGACCCTAGGGTTTGTTCATTCTGGTTATCTAGAATTAGCTAAGCTAGATTTTTTTTTTTTAAGAGCCAGAAATGTGGCCCACATTTGAAGTGAGCCAGCATCTAAATGTGGTCCAAAATATATCACTTTGAAACATTGTATTCACACTCTGGGAAACTTTATAGGCAGCTCATTTAGAAACAATAAATATATATGACAATAGCTCTGCCTACATTTTAGTTCAGAGGGGCTCACACATGTACCTAAGAGCCCAGCTTAGAGATCATGAACTAACTCATATGGCAGAGAGTGGTATGAAAGCCGTTCCTTTTATTATCTTCTCCTTTTGTACTTTTGCACATTTGATTCCATTCAGTAAGCTTTTATTGCTCATGTATTATGTGCTAGGCACTGAGAGACAGAATAATAACCCATTCCTTGCCCTGCAGATGTCCACAGTCTAGTAAATGAAATAGGTATGTAATCAGGTAAATTGTAATCCTGTAAATCGTGAAACAGTCAACGTGTGTGTAAGGTCTAGGGTAGCACAGAGGATGAGATGTTAACATTTGGGTGAATTAAAGGTCAGGAGAGGTTTATAGAAGGTGATGTTGAACTGAGATTTTGAAGGAAGAATTAGATTTCCCACTGGACCAAAGCTGGGGTGCATTAGTTTGGGGATGCTGCATGGTGGGGCGGCATTCCAGCATGTAGAAAAGCACAGGATTGGAAGCACAGTGGTGTATTCAGGAGATTCCGAGCAGCAATTGTTGCTGAAGGGTGCTCAGTCAGTAGAAACTGTCAGCAGGCACAGCCAGATCATGGGGACCGTAAACCAATGCTGAAAAGTTGGTAGAGAGCCTGTGGCCTTCGAAGGACTCTAATCAGAGGAGGGACCTCAGTAGACATGTATCTGAAAGCAGCACTCAGCGCCCTGAGATGTATTTGCTACCTGTTGAATATGCCCCTATTTCAGAGCCTCCAAATGGGTGCTCTGTTTGGCATCCCTTTGTGTGATAGATTCCTGGATTATATTAGCCTAAATTATGGGTGAAACATAAAGGGATAGGATTAGAATTTATTTTATTACAGGCTTCATCTCTGTGGTCTGATCCTGTCAGGATTCTATTCCCAAAGCCACCAGTGATGTGCCACCATCTCGGCCCTTATCTCAGTGGTAGAAGCAGATGGGGCTGTACTTCCCTCATTGTCCACCCTCATTGTTAATGACTTTGGTGAGCCAGGATTTTGGGAACTCCAAAGGATATTGGAGTGTATTGTTTTGCTTAATACTAATAAGTCTGTTTTCTTTCTTTAGCAAAGAGGGTGTGTATGAAATCAGCCTGTTACCCACAGGTATATCTAGGTAAGTGACATTAATCATTGTTTTAAAAACATTTTGAAAGCATCACCTTAATGAATGAGTATACTAATTGTCAGTAAAAAATAATGAGACATTTAAAGCAATTGTATCAGAGCTGACATATCTGCTTAGAAGAAGTCTCTATAGTCCAATGGCACTGCCATTGTTATAACCCTTTTTGGAACCTCCCTTTTTTTTATTTTTTATTGGGGAACGGGAACAGTGTTGGGAATTGGGTAAGGGGAACAGCCAAGTTGTTGTCCTTCAATCTCAGTTGTGGAGGGCACAGCTAGCTTAGCTCCAAGTCCAGTCGCCATCCGGCCGCCCATCGGCAGCTCACGGCCGCTCCGCTCAAGGTGCTGTGTTCAGTCTTAGTTGCGGGTGGGCATAGCACACTATCCCATGTGGGAGTCGAACTGGCAACCTTGTTTTTAGGAGCACGTGCTCTCACCAGCTGAGCCATCCTGCCTGCCTGTTGGCAATTCAGCGGCAGCTCAGCTCCGGCACAGCTCACTGGCCCATGTGGGAATCGAACTGGCGACCCTGTTGCTCAGAGCTCGCGCTCTTCACCAACTGAGCCACTCAGCCGGCCCAAGGAACCTCCCTTTTAAAGCAAGTTTAACAGTCACACAAGAAAACCAGTTACATTATTTTGGTCACATCTCACTGTTAATCACATATGGCTTCAGGTGAACTTTGGCTCTTTGGAAAAATCAAATTCACTTTCAGAGAGTAAAGTTCAAGAGCACGTGCCAAGGGCTTTCAGAGCATCCCTTAAGAAGGATATCCAAAATGATTTTGAGCTGGCTTGACATTGTTGAAATAAGTGTATATTCAGTGAGAGAAAAAGCCCCTCATTTGGATATTTTTATTGTGATACAGTCATAAATGATTGTTTTCCCTACATTGCCATAGTCTCAGAAGACTACCAATTGTTAAAATACCACAGTGCCAGGCATTTTATTATTCTGCTTTTCACAGTGATCCTGTGAGGTGGATACCCACTTCATGTTACAGATGAGCAAAACTGAGGTTCAGAGAGGTTGCCCAAAGTTTCACTGCTAAGCAGTGCTGGGGTAATACTTGGACCACGTCTGTAAGAGCCCTCATGGGTCCTTTTATCCTTCGTGCTTTTTTTATTTGTCTTAACATGAAAGGAATTGATGTTACACCTGGAGCATCAAGACCGGGTGATCTTAGGCTCTGGTTGCCGTGGGAGGTGTGATCAGATGAGTTCACCTACACAGGAAAGGAAGCACCATCTAGATTAATGTCCTCCGCTGATAGAGCCTGTACCCCATCTTTTCTGGGTTCTTTAGTTAATAATGTTCTTTCTGCTCAGGGTGTGCTTGTATCCTGGCTTTGTTGACTTAAAAGAAGCTGACAGGCTATTGGAACAGCTTTGTCAGGATATTCCCTGGAAACAGAGGACCGGCATCAGAGAGGGTAAGCGGACCTCTGAGACGGCGGTGGTTGCCTCCTGGTCTCTCCTTCTCAAATCTTTTCTTTCCTTTTTCTTTTAAAGATTTTATTGGGGATTTGGGGAAGGGGTCCAGCCAAGTTGTTGTCCTTCAGTCTCAGTTGTGGAGGGCACAGCTAGCTCAGCTCCAAGTCTAGTCGCCATCCGGCCGCCCATCGGCAGCTCACGGCAGCTCAGCTCAAGGTGCCGTGTTCAGTCTTAGTTGCGGGTGGGCATAATCCACCATCCCATGTGGGAGTGGAACCAGAAACCTTGTTGTTAGGAGCACATGCTGTCACCAACTGAGCCACCCTGCCACCTGTTTGCAGCTCAGCTCAGGTGCAGCTCACTGGCCCATGTGGGAATCAAACTGGCGACCCTGTTGCTCAGAGCTTGTGCTCTTAACCATCTGAGCCACTCAGCCGGCCCCTGAGATGTTTTCTAATACCACAACAAGTCTTAGAGATTCAAAACCTAGCTGTGATGCCAAGGTTGAGTAGAATTTATTGTACATAATCAAAGGGGACAGAAGAAATAACAGGTGGCTCTTTGAACATGGCAGGAGTATGGGATGGGAGTTCAAGGAACCACAGGAAGTTTGGTTTGGCTGAACTGTGGTTGACATCCTTATCTCCCTTTATGTTTGTTCACTACCTTTATTACTTCAAATGGTGTCCCTTTCCTCTTTCTTCATAGAAACTTCCAGAACTTGCTTTTTTCTGGTTCTATTTGGCATGTGTTCTTTTGAGATCTTTCTTATAGGCTTTTTAGTCTCTGTTTAGTTTCACCAGAAGAGTCCAGTCTTCTCTAGGTTCAGCATCTGTACTCTCCTGAACTTGAAAAACTTACCTGATTTGGAACCTGTTTCCACGTGGGCATCCGCAAGCACCAGTACCTGCTATGCCAGAGGTGGCCACTGGGGGGCGTCTGTACTCTAGCATACAATTCCTTTCTGGCACATGAAGTGAAATTTTCTGTAAAGAAAGAGGCAAAGAATACTGGCTTCGTTTATGTGACTTAGACATCAGAATAGGAGTCAGCTTTTTCTCCTAACTCCCAGCAGTTTCTACAGCAGGGCTTTTGGTGACAGACTTGGCTTTGATTGCTGACTCTGTCATTCAAAGTAATTAATTATAGACAAATTACAGTAAAGCAATTTTCTAGTCTTTGGTTTTCTGATCTGCAAAATGAAGTTAATAATAATACCTATCTTTTAAGGTTGTTGTGATAATTAAATGAGATAATGCATGATAAGTACTTAACAGAATGCCTGGTATATGGTAAGCCTTTAGTGAATATTAGCTGCTTTTATTATTATTGTTCTTACTGTTGTAGTGGTTGATGTCAATTGTGGGAAAAATAGCACATCTATGGGAAAATATTATATTTATAACTCCCTCTCTAAATAAGTTGTACTTAAAAATCTTCTACTAAAATCGGCTACCTGCTATGGTTGGTCAGAGCACTTTTCTCTTCATTCAGAATCAAAATGGCTCCTACAATAGTGGCACACGGGTAAACAGCTTATCCTGTTTTGTGTATGGACATTGTGCCACCGGTTCCTACCAACAAGGGTTCAGATTCCATACCCTGCTGTGGGGACCCTTCTGTCTGAACTCTGCTGTTGTGCAGTGTGATCCCTTCACCCCTTTTGATGTCACCACTGACACGAATAAGTCCCACATTCTCACCTCAGAGCCCTTGCTCAGACTGTTCTGCCAGAGCACCTTCTCTTGTCTTCTTCCTCTTAGCTCTCACCCATTCTACTTCTGAAACGCCATGTCCTCTGGGAAGGCGGAGCCTTGGGTCAGAGCCCATCCTGATTCCTCTGTATTTCTCATGGCCTTTTGCTTATTGCAAAGCATAGTGGTTGGCACTCAGTAGGTGGACCTTAAGTAGCATTCAACCGTTTCAAAGGCCTTGTATTTTCTTCCTTAGATGTAACTTACCAGCAACCAAGACTTACAGCATGGTATGGAGAACTTCCTTACACTTACTCAAGAATCACTATGGAACCAAACCCTCACGTATGTTGGAACGTTGTTGTATTACATGGTTTTATAGACTATACATTATAAATATAAATTTATAAATGGAGCACTATAAAAGCACACTAACCCGCCTTACAGAGCTGCATGATGGTTCCTAGTTCAAAAACCCCTCTGGGTTCAAACACTGAGTCTTTGTGCTTTTGGTCCATAGATGAATTTTGAGGATGAGAAAAAAACTGGACCTTCAGTAAACTAGAACCAGACTCCAGGATTTCTGGAAAATGAACCATTTCTTCTCCTAGTCTCCCCCTTTCCCAAGCTTTTCAACCTGTAGCCCTTCCGTATACACCCTGGTACACATTTGCTGTGGGACCAAGTCTTTATGACTTGCCAATAGGGTCAGAATGTCTCTTTTCATTTCTCAGGCTATTTTGCCATTTGTGAAAAAAATTTGGCATTTTTCTTGTTGACTTTGTATTTATTCTGTGCCTGCACTTCTTGGACTTTCAACTTATCACTTCTTTGGCTTGTTTCTGCTGCTTCTTTTATTTTTAAAAATTTCCATGACAGTAGACAAAGAGATTCTAGTATATAAATTAAGCTTGTCCAGAGGATGGAGTTAAGATCCAAGAAATAGCTTTCTGCTTAGTCCCTGGAACCTTGCCTTTGGCAAATAACGTTATACTTTATGGAAAGAGACTTTGAAGAAAATGGAGTTTTGCTTACAGCACTGGGATAAACAGAAATGTGACACATTTTAGAGCTTCTAGTAATTTGTAATCATGAACTACCATTTTACTGAAATATTCAGGGATAAAATCTTGATGGCTGGGAAGTACATGGCTTTTCACATGTGGAGATAGCTGAATACTTTGGCGTCTAAGGCTGCATGTAGAACATGATCCAGGGGAATGTGGAGACCTTTATATCTGAGGTGGATTTGGAAGCAGAGAGAACTGAATGAGGCCAATCCAACATAGACTGCTGGCCATGTTCCTGTCAGAGTTAATTTACCTTCATGTCAACAGCCACAGCAGAGAAGATGAGGCTTAAACAGGCTGTGGGGAAGAAGTTCCTTCTCATCTGTTCCGTTAATCTTTTAGAACAGGATTTCTCAAACTTAGTGTTATTGACCTTTTGGGCTGGATAATTCTTTGTTGTTCAGGCTGTCCTGTGTGTTGTAGGCTGTTCAGCAGTATGGTATCCATGACTTCTACCCACTAGATGCCAGAAACACCCCTCACCCAGTCGTCACAGTGAAAAATGACTCCAGATATTGCCAAACTTCTGCTGGGGGCAAAATCGCTCCTGATCGAGAACCACTGCTTTATAATAAACATAAGGCACGTAAGATCTACTGAGTAGAGTGGCCTTTTATGCTTGGGGGACATTTTGACAGTACTTCAAACAAATTTTTTATGACAACAGTCCTTCTATTAGAATGTAACTAATATGTGTTTATTGAAAATTTAGATACTTCAGAGAAGCTTGAAGAATACTAAAATTTTGCATAATTCTTCCACTTGATGTTTTGGTTCCAGTCTTTTTTTTATTTTAGGCAAATATATGTAGAGAACAAAATAAAATAAATTCTGTATGCTACATTTCATTTAACTACATCATTGGCATGTTTTAGTATCACTAAATATTCTTTTACAGCATCATATTTAATAGCTGCATAGTATTCCATAATCAATGTGTATCATAATTTATTCATGTAAGCTTCGTTTGTTGGAAATTAAGGTTGTCAAATTAGAATTCTTTAATTTGAAGTTGGCTAGCTCATATGTATTGCTAGTAGACTTAGTTTATTTATATACCATCTTGAACAAAATCAAAGGAGATGCCCCTTTCTCAGAATTTTTAAGGGGAATTCACTAATGAGTATAAATGTGTGTTGGGGGTACTTGTTTAATTTCAAGATTATTACCTCAAGCTTAATATCCTGTAGCACAGGAGCAGATTTAATCATAGGTTATTAAACTTCTTTTAGTGTTTGTTCAAACTAAATCTTATATGAACTCAAAACATGAAAATAGAAGAGTGCCTTGACTGGCTGGGCCTTTTCTTTCTCCTCCGGGAGCTCCAGGGGCACCGCTGTGGTACCTAGGTCTCTACAAAACACTGTTTGAAATCCACTGAATAGGTCCTTTTACTTCTGTGATTCATATTTTCTCTTTTCCTCAAATGTCTTTTAAGGATAGAATGTCTTCACTGAACAGTGAGATGACGCTGAATTTTAATTTAGACATTCAGCTCTGAGGGATCTGTATATAGAGTATTGGTTGGAGAGTCTAAATTAATCCTGTAGTTCATTATCCTCTTCTTTCTCCTTACTTCACCACCAAAAATAACCAAGAAAAAACTATATACCCACTGAGAAACATAATGCAAACTTGGTGTGATCGCAGTGCTCAGTCCTTAAGCAAGTCAGGGAAGTGCTAATTAGTTTCTCAGTCACATTGTGGCAAAGATAGCTTCCTCCTTTCCATTCTTGTTTATCTTGTTAAGAGTATAATTCTAGCATCTGATCTTTAGCTCCATGAAGTTAAGCTTAAAGCCATAAAAATCAATAGGAAATACAGCTCGCTAACATTATTATGGAATTTCACTTTGAAATTTATTCTCTTGAACATAGGTTAGTGTAATCATATTTCTGTTTTATTGATCTAAGCTTTGCTTGTTCTCATCATGTTTATTTAAAAAAAATCCTCTGGTTGGAATCTAATCCATAACAAGGAATCGCAGCTTTTACCATGGTTTCCCTATCACAGCAAAGCTGAATGATTCCCACATATGCTTCCTGGCAGTTTTACCTGACAGCAGCCATGGGATATACTTAATATTATGCTTTCCTTCGCTGCACGTCCATTCCTTCACTACCAAACATAGAACATCAACTTTGAAGGGGTTCTCTAATGTGGCAGTTCTTAAAGGATAATCTGCAGACCCTGGAGGGGTCCCCGAAATCCTTTTTGGGAGTCCACAAGGGCAAACTATTTTTATAATTCTAAGACTGGATGACCTGTTCACTGTGTTGAATTTGTACTGATGGTACAAAAGTAATGGTGCATGAAACTTAGTTTGCATCAAGGCATTGTCATCAAACTGCACTAGTAACCATTGTATTCTTCACTACCATGCACTTCCAGTTTTTTTTAACAAAAAAATGCTGGTTTCCTTTAAGAACATCTCTTGATGAAGCAGTAAATATTAGTTTTATTTAATCTCGATCTTTGAGTACATGTCTTTCTAATAGTTTGTTTGAGGAGACGGAAAGTATGCTTAAAGCACTCCTGCTACAAACCAAGCATGATGGTTGTGGAGGAAAAACACCGTGTGATTGTTAGCTGTAAGCTGAACTGGCTTCGTTTTTCATGGACCATTTTTACTTGGAAGAACAACTGGCAGGCAAACCATAGCTTTTCAGAATTGAGTATTTGGCAGACGTTTTCTCATAAATGAATGAAGTGAGTGTCAATTCAAGGAAAACAATGGACAGGATTTATTATGAATGATAAAGGTTGAGTTTCAAGCAAAATTAGAATTTGGGAAAAAGTCATAAGCACCATGTTGAGTCTGACCTCTTCCCATTGGCCTTTTCTGATGAGATCAGTGGTAATGTCAATGGATATGATTTTTTCAGATTGTACAATGAAATGTGTCAACAATGAAATGATCTGCATAACTCATTGAACCAGTATTTTCCAAATGACCAATGCTTGATGTTACAGAATCATACAGGATCAAAAGATCCATTCAAAGTGCGAGCTGGACCAGTGGATTTAAATGTAACAGGATCTGGAAAGTTTGTTGATACAGTTTCAGATTCCACATTACAACTAACCTTTAAGAAATCAGCACTTGTTGAGTTTTGGGGTAATATCAAAGAATATCTGTAATTACTTAATAACTATAAAAGTCTCCTTCCTTTTCTGACTACATATCTGTGTGAAGGCAATTTTCTTCATATACTTCAACAAAAACAACATATTACAACAGACTGGATGCAGAAGCACATACGACAGTCAACTCTCTTCAATTAAGCCAGACTTCAAAGAGATTTGCAAAGCAGTGCCGCTCTTTTCACCAGTTTTTTGTATGGGAAAATATAGTTAGGATTCATAAAATAATACTTTATTAACATGTAATGGGCTTGTTTTTTAAATGAATTAACCAGTAGCTTAAATTTTTTTCAGTTTTAATTTTTAATATGGTAAATATCATGAACAGAAGTTCTATGGGGTCCTCAATAGGTCTGAGAGTGTAAAGTTTGAGAACCACCATCCTAAAGGAAGCTGTAAAGCACTTGAGATTTCTTGGAGGAAAGACATAGAATTCTAACAAGAACCAATACAAACTATGCTGATTGTAGCCCCAAAGCACAGCCTAAGGTCAGGGTGATAGCTTCCTGGAGTATATGTAGCGAGGCAGTGAGCTCCACCGTGTAAACTACACTGATGAACTTGGTGCACAGGAGGTAGGGCTATGGGTGTGTTTAAATCTTCAGTAGTTCACAGACTGTGCACTCATCAAGGCCATGCCATGATTCCGTTCTGTACAAAAGAGTATCTTTCCCCTTCAGGTTCTGTTTTTAGGAAGCTAGCCACTCTGGAAATATTAAACACCTTTAAAAAGAAGCAATTCTGCCAATAAAAATAGAAGTAAAGTGAACACAGGGCCACCTAGCAGGAAAGTTGTTTCACTCCTCAGACTTTACATCTGCTAATACCTGACAACCTGTCAGCTGTGGTGGCAAACCAGCCTCTGCTCTACTCCCCACCTATTGACTTACCAACGCCACTGCCTGCACATACTGCCTGTTGCTTCTTTTCTAGGGTCAGGCATCAACATGGAAAGGGTGAGATGAGTAGATAGGCCTGGCCCTCGTGGCATTGTTATGTCACATTTAATACCTAAATAAAATTGCAGACGTCAACTTGCTTCAAAATAGAAACAATGGGAGAGAATGAAACGATTCTTCTTGCCTTCTGTTTATTGCATACCAAGCGGTTTGCTTATTCCGAGCTCATGTTTATAATTTGACTGACTTTGTGCTTTCTGTTTTCCCATGCGGCTGCCACCTTGTGTCTTACGCTGCTATCAGTGGCATCCCATGCTGCGCACACTAAAGAACCAAATTGAAGAGAACACCGGCCACACCTTCAACTCCTTGCTCTGCAACCTTTACCGAAATGAGAAGGACAGTGTGGACTGGCACAGTGACGACGAGCCCTCACTCGGGAGGCGCCCCATCATCGCTTCGCTCAGCTTGGGTGCCACGCGCACTTTTGAGATGAGGAAGAAGCCGCCATCAGTGAGTATGCTCTTTTTAACCCTTTTCATGTTCTTCCTGCCTCCTGTTATACTGTGAAGAAAGTAGAGCTCCTGTGTTCAGATTTGGAGGATAAGAGTATGTGTTTTGTTGATGAAACGTTTTGAACTGATAGCTTACCCCATGGTTAACTTTTGGCCTCCAAAGTGCCTATTCGTTCATTTACTTACCTGTAGACATTGCCTGCCATGCGTCAGGTCCTGGGGGCTTATTGTCATCGATGGAAAGGAAGACGCAGTCCCTACCCTCATGGAACGGGGGTTAGAGGACCTAAAAAGGGATGGCCCAAGCTTGTGGGGGCGAGAAGGTCAAGGAAGGAGGCTCAAAGCAGAGGCTCCTGAAGAAGACGTAAATACATGTTCTTAATGGCAGTGCTGCCACTTTTCTGTGAGGGAGCCTTCCGTGCATCCTCACTGCCTTCTTCGCCTTCTCCGGAAATGCTGATGAATCTGTAATTCTTTCAGAGACAGGAAATTGAAGCTAGATTATCAGAGGTGGTGGTCTGTCCAAGTTTGGGTTCAGAAACACTGACTAAAGTGACTGTATTATAACTTCAGTTTCCCATCCCAGCTCTTACATTACATGACATTTGAGGGCCACAGGCTTTCAATTTTTTAAGTCAAAAAGTACAGAACCTTAGGACTAAGACAGACAGACAGATCGATGGAACTCTAAGAAAAAGGCAAACCTCTACCAAATTATCTTATTTCCAGGGCTTGTGTCTTTTTCTAACCAAGGTTCCCAATCATTCAGTTTCTAACATTAACCCAGACCCAGTCAGTGTGGAAGGCCTGTGAGGCTGCGTCTTGAGTATGACTTAGTCCAGACCATATAATTATTAGTCGGTCAGTGCTTGTGTCTGTTCTTCATCAAATATACTTCTCTGAGAACACAGTTAATGGACTGGGATGCCTTCCTGACATGTATTTGGGTTTCCAAGCACAGGATTTTGAAGCATAATGTATTATTTTTCATTTATGTCATTTAAACACCTTTTGTTGGTTTAGGTTTTCTTTGCCTTGTTTACGCAGAAACTTTGGTCTGTGTTAGTGTAGGATTGTCAGTTTTTGAGTGAACCTGCCCCCTGAGCACTTGGAGTCGGCTTCCCAGTTTCGTTGGCATTCAGCCTTCTCCTGGGCCCAGGAGTGCCACCCGAGAAGCAGCCTGCCCACCCTTTGCCGTATCCTTTTTAGGTCTGGTTATGCTTTTAATATGAGGCTTTCCCTCTGTGAAATCCCGAGTTCACACATGTACAGAATTCGTCCTGCCCTTAGTGAGACTCCTGCTATATGAATAGCAGAGAAACACCACGTCTCGTTTTTAAGTTTAGACCCTCTTCTCAAGCCAGGTATGTGGAACACCAACTGCATGTTAGGCCCTGGGAGCCGGGGCCGTGGTGGTGATGAGTGAGGTGAAGTCATCTGTCCCTCCTGCAGCTGCTGATCTGGCGCGTGCCTTCCATCCTCTGACTGGCAAATCAGCTAGAGTGCATCCAGGACCATCTTTACCATAACCCTTGGCTCCAGTTCTTCGCGGTTATTTTCTTTGTTGCCGAGTATTTAAGTATTCAGTGACTGTTTCTTTACACACATACATTCACCACTACTACCTTTTAAAAAAACAAAACAAACTTTTTTAGCCTATTTATAGATTTGCAGCTTAAGAATTCCCAAAGCATGCTTTCTGGATAATTAGTTTTACTCTATAAACAGTTTCCAGCTAGTACTAAGCATTAGCAATGTTCTGGTACCCAGAATACCCCCCGTTCCTTGTCCCCTCCCGGGAGCTGAAGGCCTTCATTTTCTCTTATAAAAACACCATTCATGGTGATCAAGAGCTGTTTCTTGGTAATGTAACATTACAGGTCAGTGGGAATATAACTATCACATAGCGTTGTTTCTCAGGGCAACCATTTGGAACAAAATCGCTATTTAAGAGGGAGACTGCGTGTACTGAAGCTGTGTATTCTTAAGGCTTCCTGGAGTCTATTTTGATGAACACGAATGAGAAAGAAAACACAGGCTGTGAAACACTAAAAATGTGACAAATAAAGTCCCTTTAATTGTCTGCCAATAGCAAGGGAATCTGCACTATAACTATGGTAGCTAATTCGATAAAAATACAGCTCCAGTAAGTAAGAACAGTTGAGATCTTGAAACAATCTTGGCTGAGGAAAGACATTGGGAAAGAAGTAGAAATATGCCAGTGCCGCAGGTTATTGGCTTCCTGTATAGTCTTAAGTGTGGTTGAGTTTGATGCAATTGTGTATTCCTTCAATTCTGACATGTAAGATGGTGAAATAGAATGTTAACATATTTGAAAATATAAGCATGAATAAGTGAATACAGTTTAAAAATGAATTTTTTTCCCAAAACTTGTAAGTTCCATCCTTGGGTAAAGAGGACCCAAGTTTGAACTTTTTGAAAGACTCCTTTAACAGATAAAGGTCTGGGGCTCCGCAAATCTACCTGGACTAGAAGTTCAGAAGCCTTTCTTGGAGTTGACAGCCGTGGAATTGTATCTTAGAGTACGTCATCTTTATCTTATTAATGATCCCTTTTCTGAAGGAGTGAAAGGAAATGGTTATTGCAGATCCGTGTCTACATTTCTTTCTAAATCCCGGTGATAGCTCTGAGAACATGACTCATGATTCATACAGCCCAAGGTAAAGCATAAATTGAAAAGCATTAATTCAGTTAGTCTTCTGTGTGGGATTTGTAGGACTTTGACGTTCCGTAACTCAGGGACCTATCTCGGTATGTGCCATTGTAAGTTGTGATTTTCCTGTGTCACCAAGACATTCGGAATGTGCTAGTGGTTGTGGGAGGGAATCTTTCAAAACCCAGTTTTAACCTATCAGAAGAGACGCTAATACCGGTTTGAGTTGAGTCACATTTTCTCATCTGAAACTGACATAGAAAAATCATGAGATTTCCTGCACTTAATTCAAGTATGCAGTGTTTTAAGACAAAAAAAAACAAAAAACCAAAGCATGTTTCAGGCCACTTTCAAAGACAATTATGTTTTGTTTTGTTTTGTTTTTACATTCAAACTCCTCCACCCCTGCAGCAGCTGTTCGTTTCGGTCTGGCACCTTAAGCAGATCTCTATCGCTCTGATCTGAAAGCTGCCCCAGTTCCACACATCGCATTGCTAACAATTCCTCCCTGTGCCGAGATGGTAAGGAGATCTTTGTTTCCTAAACAGCAGTGCCCCTCAGATTCATGCAGTTGGCTCAGTCAGCTTCATGCATGCATCATCCCTAGGACTAAACATTTCACTGCTTCAAGATGCCAACCCTTTTTCACTGTCGTCTAGTCCAAGTCTGTCAACTCCTCATTCATTCTGATTTTAAATTACCATTTTCTTTAGTGATAATGAGGGACTTGGAAGCATAGTGAACTTGTCTGATCTTGCTCTTCCATTCCCCCCCATCTCTCCTTTTGTTAGTTCCATCACAGACTGAGTGAGTAGCACCGTATCTATTGATACCTTCCGGCCAATGTCAGGATATAGTGTCTGAAGTCAAAACTAAAGCTTACCAAATACACCTCACTAGACATTTTTTAGAAACCAAGGACCTTTTTGTAACTACCAAACTGGACTTGTTAACGCTTTTCTACACCCCTTGTCCCAAACCCAGTTGTACTTTTCAGACTGCATCATGTCCCTGTTGTAAAGACTAGCCTGGGTCTTTTCCCAGCCAGCTTTAATTCTATACTGAAAAACGAGCTCAAAGAAGAACTACAAAAGCCATTTGGCAGGCTGCTATTTCTTTGTCGGTTACCATGGAAACAGTGATGGCTGAGTTGGGGGGTTATTAGATAATAGCAGGAAGTTTGTGATGCACTGGAGATTTAGATGCCAAAAGCCTTGTTTTTCTAGCAAATTACCCCTGGGGAAGCTCTGTCCTTCGTCAGCTGGATCCTGAGAATGGAGGGGCTCTTCTCCACCGCAGGCTGATTGAGTGGAAGCAAGTTGGGCCTTCCTCTAACCACTCGTTTCTCTAGCAGCTTCTCACGGATGTGAACCCTGTTCATTTCACCCCTTCTAATAGTAGAGGCTCTGAGAGCTCCCACTGAATTGGAGTTCCTAGTACTTCCTGGCTAATTGGTTTTCTTTTTTTAAAGATTTTACTGGGGAATTGGGGAAGGGAACAGTGTTGGGGAATTGGGGAAGGAAACATTGTGTTTTTCCAGGACCCATCAGCTCCAAGTCAAATTGTTGTCCTTCTATCTTAGTTGTGGAGGGCGCAAGCTCAGCTCCAAGTCCAGTCACCACTTTCAAGCTAGTTGTGGGGGGTCGGGGGGGGGGTGCAGCCCACCATCCCATGTGGGAGTCGAACTGGCAACCTTGTAGTTAAAAGCACACGCTCTAATCAGCTGAGCCATCCAGCCACCTGTTGGCAGCTCAGCGGCAGCTCAGCTCGGGTGCAGCTCACTGGCCCATGTGGGAATTGAACCGGCAACCCTATTGCTTGGAGCTTGCGTCTAACCAACTGAGCCACCCAACCATCCCCTAATTATTTTTTTTTTACACTCTGCTGGGAAGAATGGAGCATAAAAAGTTCAGTTTGATCATAAACACTAACATTTTTCTAGAACTTTAGAAGAAATGAGGATATTGGAATCCAAAAAGCTATAATACTGACTGGCTTAAAATTGAAAATTAGATAAGCCATGTATAGATCTCATAGAGTAGTGACAACCTCCACCTGAGCCAGCACCCCCACTGCTGCTACGGCCAGAAATCCGTACTTATTAGTCCATCTCCCGAGTCCAGCATCTGTC